CAGCTGAAGTTTAGTTGTCATTACTAACTTACCATAAAATGGATACTACAGCATTTTCTTAAATTAGTACTTGTCTCTGGAACAGTGCAGTATGTGACTTATTCTTCACAAATTAAGGTGATAAATTTAAGCTTTAATAGTTAACGTAAGGATCCTTAAATAGTGTTTATCTCGATGGTCTGTTCAGGCGGTCCATTTCAGAGCTTGCTTTCTGTACAAAAAGAGAACTTCTGCTCTTCAAGAGATACCTTTATTTCTTTACATTTCAGGATTCAGTACTTCAAACAGGAGTTTCAAAACCATACTGAAATCTTTGTCTGCAGAGGGTGAAGGTGAAAAAATGAAAAGGCTGCAATAACATTCTCCTTGGAATTCAGAATCCTTATTTATAAAAGGAAGTATATAGCTATATTCTATCATTTCTCTAGCCCCTAGCCTGAAAGATAGTGAACTTGGGAGGTAGAGTTCAGGGCTGTGTGAATGAGAGGTGACCCCTGAAAGACAATAGTCTTGAAAGACAATAGTTTCTAAGAGAGAAATGTGATTTTTATTTTTCCAGAACTTTCATGCATTTCTACTGAAGAAACACTAATAAGCAGTCTTCTCACAGCCTGAGACAGTATGAGAGCCTCTCGGCCAAAAGGGATGGTAACTGTAGTGCAGCAAACTAAGCCTTAGATCTGTAATGGCAGACCTCACAGGCACTGTAAAAGCACTGAACACACCTTTCTAGTGTCAGTAAGTCAACTTATTAATGAATTTAATCTGACCTTTCATCTTTCTCCTGTGGATAGTTAAGTAATCAACTAGATTTGCTGAGAAGCTCCACGGCATTAAGGAGGAAGCAGAACAGTGTAGATTTGTCCCAAGCTCGTCCAATCTCACTCCCCTCTACACGATGGAGCAACCACTGGTTCCACGCTACTTCTGAAGAGTTCCTGGGCTGCAGAAAATGCTCAGCAGAGGTAGGTTATCAGTTTGGGCTCACTGATGCCGCTAAAAAAAGCCTCATGGAGCTGGCTCAGTATGGAGGTAGAAGTACATCATACCTGCCAACAGCATATCACGTGGACTCGCTCTGTGTTACACTTCTTCTCAAGCAGATGTGGCAACAATGAACAAACTTCTTATATTAATTCTGCACTGCAATATTACCATGTCAAAGGGAAACTGCCCCCATCATATCAGCATGTTTGCATTTCTGATATTCTGTCAAACAGCAGATATGTAGGCAAAACCTTTGACAAATAAGCCTTGTCAAGAAAGTGGTAACTGCTCTAGTTGGAGGGTTACTGGTGAAGTAAACAACTCAGTCAAGTTGAAAAGTGTATGTCAAAAGCAGAGGCAAAACTGGTAAGCAGCCTCCAGAAATGATGTGGAGGCAGTGGATCTCCAAGCCAGTTTTCCTTTTGCATTTCCAAAGAAAGCACAGAAGTCTCCATTTTCAGTTCCTCATTGGCAATAAGCTTGGATACCTGTCTTTAAACATCTTTAAAGGATTGATTTTTATGCAGTTTTTAATAAGAAAGAATCTCATATTGGAGATCAAAGAATGAACGCACCCAAAATCCTTACTCTTTTTTGAAAAATTTCAATTAGGAGTCAGCCTCATTTTTTTTAATTGCAGTTTGTTTATGCAAGCTGTAAGAGTTTTTAAAATTGTATACAATTGGTTGTATGCAATTAATGCATATGTGAGTACTTCTCTGAACAACTGAATTAGCAAGTGATTTTGCATTATAGCCACTTTCAAAACAAGTCCCACGATACCTGTCACATATACTATATTACTTTAACTGTGAAAGGTAAATACATAAATACATTGCTAGCTTCATCAGTCAAAATGAAGTTATACTACAGCTACACAGGAACTCAAATACTACTTATGCATAGATGTAGGCTGATTACTTTCTACAGATTATGGGACAGATCCTTTTGGTACAAGTCAGCATAGCTCTGCTGATTTCAAAGAACTAACTTCTGTTTTCCTAATTCAAGGATTCGACCTACTCCTCTGAAGATAAAACAGAAAATATATATTCTGCCCCTCAATAATACAAAAAGTGATTAATCTGCACTGCTTCCATTTATGAAATATATGATTATAATCAGAAATCAGTAGAAAGAAATGTAAAGCTTAAGAATGCGCTACTCAACAAAGAGCTTTTCTTTTATGCTTAAATTCTGCAATATCTCATTAGGCAGTTTGGAAAATTACATGCACAATTGTTTTCACAAATCTAATGGAAAATGTATTCACAATACTAGATGAAACTGGATTCAGTGCAAAGATAGTTAATTAAAGAGATGGCCAAATTAAATTAACTTACAATTCAAAAGAAAACTATGCTGTACCAAAATAATTTATCCTTACGGATGATATTTTACTCAGCTGAATAAATAACTTTTGCATGAGGCCATTTCTCTATAGCAAGCTGCTGCTTGACTCTTTCAGAGCAACCGCAACCCGGCAGTCAGGACTGAGAAGGTGACTAACAGAAATACAGCCACAGCTCCTGCACTTGTTCTTTCAGGCACCAGCCGAATGGAGTCCAAAGGTTTGACTTCTATGGGAAAATGACATTTTGAATCTTCAGAAAAATTATACTAGTTCTCACATTTGGCAGCCACCTGTTGCACATGCTTTCTTGCAGGAGCAGCAGTTTGATTCATGTGCAATTTTTTAATCCCTAGTAACTAGTTTGCAGTCTCTTTAATCTCTAAAACTAAATTGTGATAACCAAGTTTAAAAACTTCTTGGTGCTATATAGATGGTCTGTATTCATATTAGTTAAGTTAAAATAATGTACACATGTAAAATCGCAGCTGTCATTGGTAAATGTAAATGTTTAAATATTAATAAAAATATTTCTTCTAAGCAGAAGATCATGAAACAGTATACTAATATTCTGATTACACGCTAAATCCTGGAGCAACAACAGGTTTTTCAGCCAAACAACTAGTCACATTAACTTGAAAATAATTCTGAAAAGCATGAAATGGATGTGTTCTTTTTACAGTGTTCAATTTTCACACAAAAAGTACTTTCTTATGAGAAAAAAAAAGAAATAAAAGACATTTCCTCTGTAGTTCCTTAGGTGAATAAAAATAAACCAAAACAACAACAGCACTCTTTTTGAAACAACATCCCTAAACCTTAATCTGTTAGTACCGTATGACTACTCCACAGCCCTGAAGAAGTTACATGTCAGCAGGTTATGCCATTCCGGAATGAAGACTTCAAAATAATTTGTTCCATCATTTATCCTAGATTATATCTTTCATATAAGTTGTGAAGCACTTAAAAGGCTAAGTACTTTAAGAGTAAGCTATTGAGTCTTATTAATGGAAAACAAAAATCAAAGAACTGTGACTGACATTGTTAAGTATAAAAATATGAAATATTTTTATATTGTTAAGTATAAAAAATATGAAATGTTTATATTTGAG